CCCCCAAACATCTTACATAACTATAGCACATGGTCAAAGAGGGAAATTGACATTGGCATCATACAATTAACAAGTCTACAAACTCTACTTGGATTTCCCTGGTTTTTACATGCATTCATTCTTTAAAAGCAAAAAAACAAAAAAGCTCATTTTATATATATCCTGAACATCTTTGTATGTCAGTACTCATATCTAGGGGTGTGTCTTACTAATAGCAACACCTAGCTCTTCTTTAGCTGAGAGTTAATGGGTTTCTAACAGCGATCTTCAAAGTTTCACTTAGAAGGTCACTGTGGCATTGCTTCAGAGAAATGATACACACCCCAAGGGTTTGCTCTTGACTCAGGCATCTTGCAAAGTTTCCAGTGATTAACACGTGGTATATATTTTACAGTTAAAATTCTCTCATTTGAGAAAATTTAGAAAGTAGACAAAGTATTGAAAAAAATTTTAATTGCCTATAATATTTCCACTCAAAGTCAGATGTATTTAGTCTTTCAGTATTTTTAAATTTTCTTTGTGGAGCAAGAGGTATGCATGTGTTTGTATGTTCTTAAGTATTTACATACTCAATTCCTATACTAAGTATAGCTTTTCATCCTTTTTGAAAAATTACTGTGAAATGATCATTTTCTTGGGTCATTCAAATTCTTTGTAAAAAGGCATCCAGAAATATAAAGGATAAAAAGGACATAGGAGATCAGTTGTGCAATACCAGCATTTTCGGATGAATAAACTGTGGCTCAGAGAGAGGTGATGTCGTGCCTGAGGTCACGCAGTCAGGAAATGTGGGATACACAGACACTCAGTGAAGGGTGGGGGAGGCCCAGGTGTAGCTTCACAGCGCTCCAAGGTCTGGGGTTCAGTTTTGCAAGAATTCCATTTTGCCAGAATACCCATGCCTATCAAGAACTCAATCAAGAGCCTAAAATTAAACCGGTAAGCCAACTTACTAATTTACAATGAGAACTCTGTCAAGAGGGTCCATATTTTGGTATTTTTTAATGTAAATATGTTCTCACCCCGTAGGCAAATCTAATTATTAATCAAGTATTGGTGAATCCATAGAGTCGGGAAAAGTATAGTTCAGTTGAAGATTCTTTTATTGTTATTACATGTTAATTAATTTCTTTTAGGTAGAAAACATATATATGGTGAAGGTACAAAGTGTATAAAAAATTTTTAAGTGAGGGGCACCTGGGTGGCTCAGTCATTAAGCGCCTGCCTTCAGCTCAGGTCATGATCCCAGGGTCCTGGGATTAAGCCCCGCATCAGCTCCTTGCTCAGCAGGAGGCCTGCTTCTCCCTCTCCCACTCCCCCTGCTTGTGTTCCCTCTCTCTCTCTGTCTCTCTCTGTCAAAATGAATAAATAAAATCTTTAAAAAAAATTTTTTTTTTTTAAATGAAAGGTCACTCTTCCTTGCATCCCTTGTGCCCATCCCCAGGGGAAGATCTTAATGACTACTGTGTCTCTGTATTATTTTCCCAGGGATGCTGTAAATAAAAACTTACCAGAAATGTAGCGATGTGAAATGACACAAGTTTATTATCTTATGGTTCTGGAAGTCAGAAGTCCTAAAATTGAGGTGTCAGCAGGGCCATGCTCTCTCTAAAGGCTCTAAGGGAAGATCCTCCCTTTGCCTCTTCCAGCTTCTGGTGCCCCTGGGATTCCCTGGCTTGAGGTCACATCCCTTCAATCTCTGCCCGTCCTTATGTGGCCTTCTTTGTGTGTGTCTCTCTGTGTCTTCTCTCCTTACAAGGACACCTGCCATTGGATTTAGGGCCTATCCTAAATCTAGGATGGTTTCATCTCAATATCCTTAAACAAATTTCATCTGCAAAGATGCCCTATTTCTACAAGTTCACAGTTGGAGGTTCTGAGTGCACATACATTTGAGGAGGACACTATTCAACTTACCACAGTTCCCCTCCCACAGAATTGCTTTTCTTGCAAGTCTGGGGTGGGGGGCACTCCTGTCTTGGCCTGAATGTGCTTGTTTAAGAGTTCAGGGTCTTAAGAATGTAAGGGCCAGGGCGCCTGGGTGGCTCAGTTGGTTAAGCAACTGCCTTTGGCTCAGGTCATGATCCTGGAGTCCCGGGATCAAGTCCCGCATCGGGCTCCCTGCTCGGCAGGGGGTCTGCTTCTCCCTCTGATCCTCCCCCCTCTCATGCTCTATCTCATTCTCTCTCTCAAATAAATAAATAAAAAATCTTTAAAAAAAAAAAAAAGAATGTAAGGGCCACAGTAGCACAGAAGACCCAGAAACGAGTAGTCTTCACTTGTCTACCCCATCCCCTAGCTGTTAGCATCGCTCTTCCACAAGGAACAAAAATCACCATCCACTTGTGTTCTTTGTTGCTATTCAGTGTCTAATACCGTCTAACACTGTGGCTTTGGAGTGCTTCTCACTGGGGCTTTTGGCATTTTCAGAAGAAGAGGAGGAAGAGGAGGAGGAGGAAAAAGAGGAAGGGGAGGAGGAAGAGGCGGAGAAAGAAGAGGAGGAAGAAAAGGAATAGGAGGAGGAAGAGGAGGAGGGAGGAGAGGAAGTAGGGGTCGGTAACACCCCGCAGTGTTTGTGTTTGCAAAATGTCTCTGCCATTAGACAATTCCAATTTAAAATACGGATTAGCTCTGACAAAAGTGACCTAGGCTGGCTTTTCTCTTGGATGGTTTCCAATTTCGGTCTTATCCATCACAAATGATTTTAATACTATAGGATTTTGACAGAACAGGGGTAGGAGTTTTGAATTCTTACCTGCAATTCCCAGCTCTAGGGAATAATAGCGGAGAGAAAAACAACAATAACTGAGTTGTAGGATATGAAAACATGCTGAATTTTCCCCTCTGAGTTTTACGCTCGTAGGCATTCAACAAGTCACTTTCCTGTCGAACAAATAAGCTCTCTTATACCAAATTATGAGCCTTAGAAAACCTATCACATTTTTTCTTCCGCCTCAAGTACAAGGAAAATTGGGAGAAACAATGATCAATTTCAGTAATTATTCACCTAGATTTTTACTATACTCAGTCCTTGTCTATGTGCAGCTTTATGTTCTGTTTCTATCGGCAGGTTTTATTGCACATACGATTTCATATCCTTTCTAGGCATTTTCTCCTGCCCTGGCTTCCATGACACTGGTCTCACTTTCTGCTCCCTGCTGTTTGTTTCTTCTACTTCTTTCTCGTTTGCCTTCTCTGTCCACCTTTCAAGTGCCGGGGTTTCTTAGGATTCCTGCTCTTCTCTCTCTGGACATGCAACCCTTGGATTTCTTATACATTCAGTGGATGTTAACTGCTCCCTGGAGATTGATGACTCCCAAACCAGTATCTGCAACTCCAACCTTTCCCTGAGTTTGGTTCAGATTCGAATCCATCGACTGCGTGTGAGGCGAGTGGTGTTTACGTGTGTCTCTCGGGTCCCTTACGCAATGACTATGAATTTGAACCCGGTACCTTTCTTCCCTGGACTGAGCTTTCTGCTCTGGCTGTGCCTAGTCTAGGAGGACAGTGGGACAATGGCCGAGAGTCTCAAGAAGGAACCTGTGAGTTATCTAAGACTTGTTTCTTTCTCACCCCGACGTTCAGTGTCCACATCCTCCTTGCTAAGCATTTCTAAAATCTGTCTCTCTCCCGTCATTTCTGTTAGCTCTGAATTTCAGACCTGGGATCAGATGGTAATTGATCATCTCATCTTGGCTATTTCCTTATCCTCTTAACTTGACCATAGCACGCTTAAAATGTTTCTGTGGTGTCCCACTGCTTACAGAATTAAACGGAGACTTACCAGCATGAAACAAAGGCCTTCCCTGACCGGTTCCTGCCCGTCTCTGTGGTCATCCCCTGCCACTCCCCCCACCCAGCTCCCCCATTTTCTGCCTTCACGGCTGCCTGTCATTCCACCCAGAAGCACACTGTTTCATGCTTCCACGGCTTTGCTGATGCTGCGCTTCCTAAAAGGCCTTTACCATCTTTCTTTGCTAATTCTTACACAACCTTAACTCAGCTCAAATGTTATTCATTCAACAAACACTTATTGAGCACCAAGTGTGTGCCAGGCTGTGTTAGGGTTCCCCTGTTGAGCAAGCAGAGAGGGACACTGTCCTCAAGGAGTTTAATCCTAGCAGCTCTCACTGAGCTACGACACTGGGCTACGTGCCTCTCCCTCTTCCCGCCCTCCCCAGCAACCTCTCACAGCCCATCGTTACCCTTGGCCTATGAGGCCGAAATGACCTTCTGGTCCTCATTCTCTAATGTACTGTGAATTTCATGGTTGCGGGGGGCATGCTGTATTCATCTTAGTATTCTAAGTGCCTGGGACTGTGCTTAGCACAGTGTCTCGCTTGTTGAACTCAACTATCAGTTATAAATAAATGAGCCCATGACTCAGCTTAAACTTTCCATTCTCAAGGATACCTACCCTTGATCCTCCAGAAGAGGTCAGTCATCCTTGTGATATGTCCCTATCCATATCTATTTATTGTACTTATTGTTCTATTTATTCCCAGAATGTTGCACAATTGTAACATTATTTTTTTCAACTATTCACCTTATTTGCTTAAATTTGGTTTTCTGCACTAAGTTGTAAATTTCGTCAACAAGGTTGATGGTACAGCTAGCAGAGTACATGGCCTATGATAAATGCTTAATAAATATCTGTTAACTGATAGACACGTTTTCTTACTGGGTAAAAATCCCGGATGCATTGCTGGTACCTGCTGAAAATTTAGACCCAATCGCCTGCTGGCCTCGTACCCCGTTCTACCCATCTATAAAATGGAGATGTTCCTGTGGGATAATGTTGGATAGCAGATGAGCTTCAGATAAAATCATCTCAAAACAAATGTCTTGTAAATAAATGATATAAAAAAAGGAAAGATGGGATTAAAAGATTAAACACCTCAACTAAAATTCCAGATGAGCTTTGAAATGCCTATTGCAGGATGTGGTATTTTATTCCCTGACAGGAAATATAAACATTTCCCCCCCTTTTTCCTTCCCAGCAACGGAGACAGAAATGTCTGTGCCAAATGGAGTAGAATCAGAACAGGTAAAATTTTTGTGAAGTATTTGAAGCATATGACTTCGATTTTTAAAATCCAGAATAGAGGTTTGCAGAAATGAACTGGGGAGGCAAATATATCTGAGCAGCAACTGTGGGGAAATAGCATAGCTGAGCAATTCGTAGGCTGGCGCCTAGTGCTCTTGGCAGAAATAACGTTCCCATCGTTGCCTCTCTATGTGCAGACACTTTGAAAAACAAAAAGAAATAAAAAGGACAAAATCATGGCAAAATCATTCTGTGTGCCTTCTGTGTGGCCCAGGATTAGTGACATCCTGCAGGATCGACACTTGCCACCAGCATCCTTCTTATTTGCTGAGTGTACCCTTCATTAATTTTTATGATCACAAAAGTGATTCAAGCTGCTTTAAGTAAAAACTGCAGGCAGAATCGACACCTATAAGGGGAAAGTGAAGGCCCCCCATCCCTTCTTTCTTCTTTCCCTCCTCCCTCCTGAGAGGGAGATTGTTGCCCCTCCTTGCTGTGTCAAGAAAATGTGTCAGGACCCCTTTATGCTCATAAACATTAAGACAGAAATTAAAAACAATGTTTATTAATTCATTTAAAAGCAAGAATAACAAAACAAACCCATGACATGTTGACGTAAGTAACATTTTATGAAAAATAACTATCTTTTCCCAAATGAAAAAATATTAGAAAAATGGCATTAGGTGGCATTGTTTTACGTTTCTGCAAATCTCGTGAATGTCTTACGTTTTGCGCAAATCTCGTGGATTGTTTTACGTTTCTGCAAATCTCGTGAATCCCTGACTGGGAGGCAGAAATTCCCTTATCTGCCTGCATATTCTAGCATCGGAAGGATGACCTCAGCACATTATTTGTCAAGTCACCTCGGGGAAAACTCCACTGTCCATCTCATGAGAGTGACAGTGAAAATGGCAAATAATGTTTCGTGAAAATCATTTTGATCTCATGGGTCCCCTGGCTACACTTTGAGAACTTGTGCTGTAGAAAATTTGAAACTGAGTTCCATTTTCTCTTGAATCTTGTTGCCTCCGGAGGTCTAAGTCAGCTGTGAGGAGAGCTGCCTGGGACTGGGTAGAAGATTTCCTATCTTCAGACCCCTGAACATATGCCTGAGCATATGCCTGAAGTCGAAGACAGGAAAATTGGGTGGTCTGGGTAAATGTTCCAGGTTTTCAGAGATTTTCCAAGAAATTCTGATTTGTAAGGCTGTTTTGTTTTGATCTTGAGCCCTATGGGGGCAAAGTGGGGCTGGGGGGACAAGCAATGAAGCTACTTGGCAAGTGGAAGGTATGACTGGGACAGGAAAATCGTGCGGGGGTAATATTCATAAAGGACTGGCCCGCTCGCCTTCCCCGTGTCTCACCAGGTAAAAAGGGCCATCAGCTCCGCCCTGCTAATGATCATCATTCCCTCCCTGGGATTCGGGCTGTTGGTGCTGCTTGTGGCGTTCTTCCTTCGAGGTAAGGAGGGCAGGCCCCAGGTGGGATGGTGCCCTTTGGAGCTGTGGAGCCTCTAGGAGGATCTGGGAGTGGACTGATTCTGCTTCCTGCCCCTGTCTCCTTCCCTCAGAGTCCCCTTTCCATCATTGTCTCCATCCTGGTCAAGGAGGTAACAGGAAAACTCATTCTCCCTCGGATGCTAAAGCCTTCATGTATCATCTTCCTGATGGAGTTTATATTTTGGAAAAGAAAAACAAGAGCACCTCCATTTTCTGGAAACTCAATCTCTGGCAGTCCTGCTGTTATACTCCTGATGTGTCTAACTGCTTTCCTTCTCATGACTGCCTTAAGTGAAAAGTGCTATTATTATCATCATTGTCTTAGGGCAGGGGAAACCCTGGCCCAGCCTCCTCCTCTGGCTAGGACTGCCCTAGGAAGAAAGCCTCCCTCTGCTGCTCCCCCTGCTTGTGTTCTCTCTGTGTCTGTCTCTCTCTGTCAAATAAATAAATAAAATCTTAAAAAAAAAAAAAAAAAAGAATGAAGCAGCTTAACACTATTGCCCACAACATGGGAACAGACGTGTAATTGATGGGCACTGCCTTGGGGCCGGAAGAAGCAATCACTTGATCTGATTGAAGGAACAGCTTTCCCTGCCAAAACCATTCCCTCAATTCTCACCTTTGGTCCAACTCCGCTCTTGGTAAGGCAGCTTTGGGCTTTCCCAACATTTCACATGTTCTAGCACAGCTCCTCTGCTTATCCCGTGGCCTTGTCTTTTCAGGGAAAGTCATGAAAACCAGTTGGTTCCCGAAACACACAAGGTAATTCATCTTGCATGACTGATTGTTGTAATGATTGTACAAGCTGTTACAAATGATTAGATACTACTCAGTGGTTTAATGACTTGTGCTCGTGTTCTGATTAAATACAGGGTTGGAGAAGTGTGGCATTAGAGGTGAAAAAGATGTGGGATTTAACTCACTTTAACCTCTGTCTTGGTTAACACTATGTTATGTTCGTCTGAAATACAAATATAAAGGCAGGTTGCATTAATAGAAGCATGGCATGCAAAAGAATGAAGGTGATATGTCTCTGTCCTCTGTGCTCAGAATTTGTTCAACTCTGGGCAATTAATTTTATTTATTTATTTATTTAAGATTTTATTTACTTATTTGTGTGTGAGAGAGTACAAGCAGTGGGAGCGGCAGGCAGAGGGAGAAGCAGGCTCCCCGCTAAGCAAGGAGACTGATACAGGACTTGATCCCAGCACTCTGGGATCATGACCTGAGACAAAGGCAGACACTTAACTGACTGAGCCTCCACGGCATCCCTGGGTGATTCATTTTAAAAGGACATTGTTAAACAGGAGTTTATGGAGAAGAAAGTTGGCAGTATGGAAAATGAGAAACATGTAGAATATCATGCCTCGGATTTGGTTCCTCAGCCCAGTATTAGACCATAAAAGCAGTTTTTTGTTTTGTTTTGTTTTAAATAGTTTGAAGAGTCTTTGGAAAGAGATTTTGGATATCTGTCCTGTTCTATAGCTTTTTGGGAAGGAAATGAAAAGATCTGGTGTAAACTGTGATGAAGACTGTGGCTTCACTTAATTGCATCAATACGAAAATATTAACAAATAAATATTAACAAGTAGGAGAACTGAGACTCAGCAAGGCAGCTTTCCAAGGTCATACACACATTTTGATCTTGATTTTATATTTTGCTAATGTAAATATAGAAATGTTTAATTCCCTTATTGGAATAGACTGGCAAAAGCCCTTTATTTCCCGCGGCGTCAGTTTTCCCATCTGTGAATGGAGAGGCTTAGGTGGAGTCTGAGCCCTTTTCACTCTAACAACCATGGTTAGTTGCGTTGTGAGTTAGCAACATCCCATTCTTTCTGGTCCTGGTGTTTCCCATTCTCAGCCTCTCTTTTCTCCTTACAGGCTAGACAATGTTGGAGAATGTAAAAACAACTTTGATGACATGCAGCATGGAAGAGAAGACGAAGATGGTCTTTTCACACTCTAATGTGCCACTTTTTCTCAGGATTGAGGACCGGGGCATGATGCGGGAATTGTCAAAATAAGTCTTAGAATGTGTTGTTTTGTTTTGTTTTTAAAGCCCCATCTATTCTATTGGTGTCATGATCCAGTCTTGCTTTAATGTCACAAGTGAAAGTACTTTAGAGACCTTTAGCACCTTCTCTGCCAGGTGTTTTAATCTCCTGGGTAGCATCACGGTAAATGATCTTCCAGACTGTGCTTGAATAATTTCGGTGATGGTGAGCTCACTACCACATCTAAAGGAGATCATTCAATCTCAGGTAGTTTTGAGACTTAGAAATATTTAAAACAAAGTCTGTCTCTGGACAGCATCTGCCTATGGATCATAGTGGAACTTACTGTGTTTACACAGAACATGTGTAATCTCTCTTCTCTCTGGCAGCACTCCAGATACTGGACGGAGGGCCTCATGTCTCTCCAAATTGCCCTGTGTCAGGGACACGATTTCTGGTTCCTTCTCTACCCTAGTTGCCTTTGGCTCCTATGCATTTGTATCTCGCTGTTTATGCCCAACTTTTGGAGTGCAGCGCCCCCCTCCAGGGATGGTAGGAGCAACCATGGGTCTGGGTCTCATCAATAATGCCAGAAGCGATGTAGAACTGCACCATAATTTTGGCTCACATTTTCTTTTTTGAGAAAAAATTCTCCCTTAACCAGGGCTCTGTGGGGGCGGGTGTGGTGGCCCAGAGTCAGGAGTTTCCTGCGGCAGTAGGCAAAGGTCCCGGTGGAGGTGGGTATCAGAGACCTCACTGAAGCTGGCATTTGCCTGGACTCCCCGTCTGCAGTCCTTCCCCTCTCCGATTTGTTCTTCAAGCTGTGGCAGAGATCTCCTTTTCTAAATGCAGATCAGAGAGCCCTGTCTCCCGACTTCTGCTGTGGAAGAAGCACCTGGACTCAGTCTGAGGCCCCAGGCAGCTGCCACAGATGAGTGAGGCAAGGGAAGTGCTGGGGCTGTTCTAAGTGCAACATACCTGTGTCCACTTGAAGACTTTACCACTCCAACTTAGTTAGGATAACGTCCTGGGCAAGCAACACGTGGCCACGGGCTGGAACAAGGCAACCAGTCTGAGACTCCAAAGTCCAGGAGGTAGGGTATGGGTTTTTCCAACTGATGAATTAATAAATACATAATTCTTACGCTGAAACTTCCTGGTCAGGGGAGATTGTTGGTCTAGTTCTCTCTTTCCCTCTCCGTGTAATCAGGATGAATTGGTAGTCTCCTACAAATAACTTCCTAGTATCTAGGGCCCAGGAGAGAGGATCACTTCACTTAGAGAGCTTAAAAACCTAAATGAGATGGAACACACATGGGAAATGCAACAGAATGGAATCAGTGTTGATTTTCCATTTGCACAAGGAAGGACTTTGATGGAGACGTGGTTCTTACAGCTAATTTTTACATGGTGGGTTCACAATCCAACCTTGAGGGTTTAGAACAACCTATTTCTGCAACCTTGACCTTGGCCTTTCTAGACTAAATCAAAGATAACATCCAATCCTTAAACAGCATTTGCTATGGTCTAGGTATCCTACTAAGTGTTTCAAGGCAATTTCTCATGGAATCCTCACAGCAGCCCAGTAAAACAGATATATTACTCCTGCTTTTGGAGTGGAGAAAACAGAAGCAGAGAGAAGCGAAGGAACTTGCCCAAGGTCACATGGACCAACCCCCTATGACAGAGCAGGGCCTTGAACCAGGCTGGAAGGACTCCACACTCTTAACCACTACCCTGTACTTCACAGAAGGGCCTTAATTTAACATTCCGTGCATACAGAACTGCAGTATTGGCCTCCGTTGGGTCCAAATGGATTTTAGTTTGCTCAAATCCATGGTGGCCTGAGTGTTTTGATGGTTCTCCAATCCCAACCCCTTTATAGCTCAATCTTCCCTTGTCCCCATATTATTTGCTCAGAATCTTATTTGCATTCGCAGAGAGAGCCACAAGTGGAGAACCTAGCAGGAACCTTAATGAAGCCAGGTGGGACACATTTAAATGGGAATGTGTTGAACCAACTCATGAAGAGCTGGAGCCAGCTGTCAGCAGGCTTAATGAAAGGTTAACAGGAATCCGGCAATGGGTGGCTGAAGAGACTCTTTATCTCTCTAAAGAAAACAAAAATTTGAGAAGTGAGCTCCCTGGGTGAAGGCAAGATCAGAAGGAGGAAGCCACTTATAACCAAAAGGCTGGGTCTCAAAATAGAATTTCATTTGGATTTGTAAACATGTTATAGTCGTTAAAAAAAAAAGGCATTGTGAGTTCTCAGCTCTCTGAACATCAAAGAACAGCGAAGAGAAGGATGCTGGAATAAGATGAATGCTAATACTGTTATGAGGGTCTTGGAGTGTGCTGGAGATAGCTGCTCACGAAACAGAAGATGTGTTTACTTTCCATCTGAGCTGGAAAGGTGCTGTTTGGAGGTTGTATGCTTTATCCGTGCTGCATATGGAGTGGGGGTTGGGTGTCCAGGAAAGACCCTGACTAATCCAGCAATTCAACTCCCACGTTTTATCTGATGAAACTGAGGCCCAGACTGACAGGGACTGAGTTACCCCAGGCTACACAGGAACCCAGTGCCAGAGGACAGACCTCAACCATGTCTCCCGAACTTCTCTCTGTGGCCATGTCATAAACCTGTTCTTGGATTTTCTAGGTCCACCTGGATCTGCCTGATTATTTACCCTTCTGAGGTCACATTAAGTTCCTGGTGCATGCAACTCAGCATTTCTTTCCCTTGAACCATCTTTCCCAGCACACCCTTGGCCCTGTGGTGGACTCCCGTTCCCAGAAAGAGGAATGAGAATGTGGAAGTGCAAAGCCTGGCTGTTCTGTTGCTTTATGAAGAACACCGCCGTAATGAGGGTGACCAAATTGTCCCATTTTAAAACTCAAAGTCCCACATGCTGGGAACCCCTTCAGGAGCCCCTAATGACTGTAACATGTTTACAGATCCAGGCAAACTGGGATGATTGGTCCACTTAAGTCTGTAACTAAACCAGAGATGGAAACAACCACCCTCTGAGTTCTTGACTCTCTTGCAGTGATCATTTTTTTGCTGCAATAGTACCCAAGTGGAATTTAATTTGTTTAGATCCAGTCTTAAAATAGACTACTAAATCTAGATGCTAGACCCTTATTAATCAAAACATGGGGCTCAGACCATGCCATGGATATCACCTGGGAGCTTGTTATCCATGCAGAAGGTCGGTCCCCACCGTACAGCCCAGAATCAGAATCTGCATTTTAATGAGATTTCCATGTTATTCGTATGAACATTAAAAATTGAGAAATACTGGCCTAAAGTATTGATTTTTAAAGTCAGCTGCACATGGAAATCATATGGGGATTTCAGTAATTAAAAATACCGATGTTTGACTCCTCTCTAGGATCCTGATTTTAATGGGCATGGGGGAGACCTGGCTCTCAGGAGTTCTTAGACCACCTCGGATAACACTAAGGCACAGCAATGACTGTAAGCCACAATTCTGAAGGGAGGGCAGCTTCACACCAGAAGGAATTGTTGCTAATTCATCAGGACAACTTTTGGCCTAAGTTACAAGTTTATGTGGGTCTAGTACCCCACATGATTTTGCTCAAAGAGATGGTCAATAAAATTGTTCAAGAAGATCTGAGGAGACATGATAATGACCTAAATGTCCCAATTACTATGGATGAGGCCCATTAAAGTAATTAAAAACCAAGATATAATATTTGGTCTGTGGAAAGTGATAATGAGAAAACAGAAAAGATAAATGGAGAAAGAATGTCTGGGGGTCAAAGGGGTGCTATTAATCTTTCAGAGACATCAGAGGGATAATGAGATTATGCTAAGATTATAAGAGAAACATGGAAGACTGATTAAGTGGAAACCTTTGTTGCAGAATAAAGAACTTGGTAAAAAGGCAACTCTCTGTCCTTTTGTACCTAAAAATAATGGGAGACCCTTCTTAGGGCACAGTTATTCATTGTCTTAGAAAGATGGTATTCAGCTGCAAGTAAGAGAATACTAAAAAGAGTGACTTAATTAAAGACTTTTAATTAGTTCACATAACTGGAAATCTGGATTTAGGCTGTTTGATGGTTGGTTCAGCAGCTTCATGGAAATGAGATATTGGAGTCTCTGTGGCTTCTTTTGGCTTGTCCCCCAAGGTTGCAATATGGCTGTCATAGCTCTAATGTGCCCTCACACAAAAGGATCCCAAACAGGAAGGCAGGAGGTGGAAGGGAATGGAACTTTCCCCCTAATATGACTTTTATCCTTTATCAAAAAGGGAAATCTGCCATAGAAGTTACCAGAAGACCCTCCCATATGCTTCAATGGACATGTACTTCACTGGACCACATGCCACCCTTTGGCCAAGGGGAATGAGAGATCTGGGACTAATTTACACCAATCATGACTCAGCCCCCGGGGTGTACACATGGCCACTTAGCCAAAATTTACAATGAGCATGGGAGAAACTGAGAATGGCTCTTGGGTCAACAACCTTGATTCCCGGCACACTCACTCATCCAACCAAAGTGTCTTGGGTGTCTCCTATGTGCCAAAGGGCCCTGTTGGGTGCTGGGCTGTAGGAATGAACTGGACAGACTGAGTCCCTCTTCCCTGACAGCTTATAGTCTACAGAGCCACCTCCATCTGTATTATGCATTCTGTGATTCCAAATGTTTGGATCATTGTTAATGTATCTGAGAGGCAAAAGAATGAAGGGATTTAAACAGGATAAGAGTTTAGAAATTCTGCATACACACCTTCTTGAAGCTGGGGAGCTGAACCTCTCATGCAAGTGTCAGGAGTCAATCAAGGAATGAGGCAGAAATATTCAGCCCTGGTAGATGAAGAAAATTGTAGCAAAAATTCTTAGCCACAGTGAAACTTTGTAAGTATGGCAGAGAGTAGGCAGCTTGGTAAAGCGCAATGGTAGAGTAAGGGAAATAACCTCTTCTGTGTTTCTATGCAGTTTCCTACTTTTTAAGAGTTTCCAAACCCACAGTACTCTGAGTCAGAGCCAGAGGATACCCCATTTGATAGGGGAGAAAAATGGAAGCCCAGACAGGTAAAGTCACTGTCTGTGTTCTCGCCAGGGTGAGTGAGACAGGACTAGAAGCAAATGTCCCAATTCCCCCTCAATCCAATGCCTACTATGTGCACCTAGCTTTGTGCTTGGGCCCAATAACAGTGCTAGTAGTCATCACTAATAATACTTGAGCCCTTTCTGGATGTCAGACGCTACCCTAAGCACTTTACATGCATTATTTTATATAATTGTAACAATCGCTCTATGAGGGGGTTGCCAGTTTTATCCCCGTTTGACAGGTGAGGAAATGGAAGTTCAGATTCATAAAGTAGGTAGCCTGCAGTTGAGCTGGGATCCAAACCCTGTAGCAGCTTCAAAGCCCATGTCCTCGACCGCAGCACTCTGGCCCTTCCAGGTGTACAAAGTGCCTTAGTGATCTCTTCTTTGACTCTACTCCCATGTGAGGTGGACGGGATTGCACTGGGGGTCCTAGGTTTGGTGTCCTCCTTCTCTAAGTCTGTCTGATTGGGCCAACCTAGAAATGGGTGGGGGAGTGTGAAGGGCACAAAGCCAGAGGGTCTCACATTCTTGAAGAGACTCAAATTTAGCTTTACTTTTTTTTTTTTTTTTAAGATTTTATTTATTTATTCATGAGAGACAGAGAGAGAGACAGAGGCAGAGGGAGAAGCAGGCTCCCCACGGAGCAGGGAGCCCGATGCGGGACTCGATCCCAGGACCCTGGGATCATGACCTGAGCCGAAGGCAGACGCTTAACCGACTGAGCCACCCAGGTGTGCCCTTAGCTTTACTTTCAAATGGAACTATCTATTCAGGCTCAGAGATTGAATAATGAGGATCTGGCAGTTAACATATTCTATGAATGTGGCTCCCTCCCCCTTTAAAAATATACCTGAGGAAAGAGAAAGCAAAGGGCCTGGGTCCTACTCTCCTGCAGGGCCCCTGGTCCTGTCTTCTTCTTCCCTGCCTCACCCTCATGCTGCCACTTATCTCTTCTCTCTACCCTGTTTATCTCTGTTCCCTCCTCAGCTTCTTTTCCTTCCCTTCTCTGAGATGCGTCTTATCTCCCTTCAGCAGCTCCATCAACAAAGTCCTGTCATTTTTTCTCCTGCTTCAGGATGCCTCAGCACCATTTTAATCTGTCCCTCTGAGCTTTGCTTTTCAATCTCTTCCCAAACTTAATCTCAGCCCCTTCTTCACTTAGATGAAGAAAAGACCCGAACAAGATTACATTACCTGACAATACCTTCTGGCTCCTGATCAAGATGATTAGAAAAGACAGCAGAATCTTGCTTCACCACTGTGCCCTGGGTATGCTGTGGTAAGAAAAGCTTTTTAATTAACCTAAGACTCACCATCAATTAATGCTATAACCTCCACCACCAGCGCCCTGCTTTCCTGCCTTTTTTTTTTTTAAAAAACTGTTGTTGAAAATTTTGCAACATGTTGGTGTGTTGGAAAGAACACAGGTCTTGGAGTCAGACTGGCCTAGAACCCAAAGCTGCTCTTGCCCAGCCGGATAGCCCAGGACAAGTTGCTTGGCTTTGCTTAATCTCAGCTTGATCATTTGTAAATATGGAATAGTCATGGGACCTCATAAGTAAGCATTAAAGGTAGCAATATCAGTAAAGCAGTTAACACAGTGCTTGGCACAGGGTAGATGCTCTATGCCTAGTAGGCTCACTCTGCTCACTCTGCAGCCCCAACCAGTTTAGAGTTATAAGTCTATGTTAATTGGAAATTGTTGGCAGGACTTGCGGAGTCCCCCACTGAGGATACATACAGTGCACTTGCAGAACTGGAATGTTGAGCCTGTGGACTTCCGGTCTATCTCAGGAGCTGCACGTATGTCCCCTGATCTGGGGTTCTCATACTTTAGATGGCCTAAGAATCATCTGAGAACATGTTAAAATGCATATGCCTGGGTCCATCCCCCAAAGATGCTGATTCAGTGAATTGGAATTGGGCCCTACTACCTGAATTTTTAATGACCTCAATAGAGTTCTGAAGCACTGGACAGTGGATCCTCTGAGAGTGTGGCTCAGAGGCTGACATTTAGAGAGTGCTCATGGTAGCTAGCCTGATTCCTAGCCACTTTGCCCTTCCATCCTTTCCTGGATTCTGACCCTGCTTTTTACCTTTCTTTGTCTTCGGACCCTGTGCTCAGCTCTAGTTTGGCTCTGATTTTGTTCTTTACTGGTTCATCATGGTCAGCCCCAGGGCATTCTTACCCTCTGGTTCGTACCCTCAGCTACCCCTACCTGCCTGAGGTTTGGCTTGGCTTAATCTTGTGTTCCATGTTAAACTGTCCCGAAGTGACCCTGTCACTCCTGAAGCTTCTGTGCACCAGTTATGGTTGTCATTTGTCATCCTTTCCTGCCCCTCTTGTACGCCTTTGGGACTCGCCACCCCTTTGGACTTCCAAAGGGATGAAGATCTAGGAATATGGCAAGGGCACCGTTTTGAATTTGAATCATAATTCTGAAGCACCAGGAATGTGGAGAGTGGACCCTGCACTGAATTTTTATTGCCCCTAAGATATATGCTGAGTTATTTTTTTTTTTAAGATTTTATTTATTTATTTGACAGAGACACAGTGAGAGGGGGAACACAAGAAGGGGGAGCGGGAGAGGGAGAAGCAGCCTTCCTGTGGAGCAGGAGCCCCATGTGGGGCTCAATCCCAGGACCCTGGGTTTATGACCTGAGCTGAAGGCAGACGCTTAACTACTCAGCCACCCAGGCGCCCCTGCTGGGTTATTATTTTTTTTAATTTTAATTATTTTTTTTAAGATTTTATTTATTTGCGAGAGAGAGAATGAGAGACAGAGAGCATGAGAGGGAGGAGGGTCAGAAGAAGAAGCAGACTCCCTGCTGACCAGGGAGCCCGATGTGGGACTCGATCCCAGGACTCCAGGATCATGACCTGAGCCGAAGGCAGTCGCTTAACCAACTGAGCCATCCAGGTGCCCTGGGCTATTTTTTATTTCAGTTTTAAATCCACCTCATTTATCTTGGTTCATTGTGGGGGTTTTCCATCCTTGCCAAATGATGAAGACTATAAGGAAAATGCTCTGGGTTCTATCTGGATTCTTTTTTTCTTTTTACATTGTGGATATACAGATAGATAAATAGATATATAATTTTTTAAATTGTGGAGATATATATATATATCTCATGAAATTTTTCATTTTAACCATTTTAAGGTGGTTAACCATTACAACTCAGTGGTATTAATTACATTTACAGTGTTGTACAACCATCACCATGATCTATTCCCCAAATTTTTCATTATTCCAAACAGAAACTCTCTAACTACTAAGCAATAACTCTCCATTCTCCCTTCCCTCAGCCCCTAGTGACCACCATCTACTTTTTTGTCTCTATGAATTCGCCTAGTCTAGATATTTCATATAAGTGGAATTCTGTAATATTTGTCCTTTTATGTATGGCTTATTTCACTTAGTGTAATGTTTTCAAGGTATGTCTGTGTTGTAGCATGTATCAGAACCTCATTCCTTTTTATGGATGAATAACATTCCATTGTATGAATATACCACATTTTGTTTATCCATTCATCTATTGATGGACACTTGGGTTGTTTCTATGTTTTAGCTGTTGTGAATAATGCTGCAGTGAACATTGGCATACAAGTTTTTGTTCAAGTACCTGCCTTGGATTTTGGTCGGTATATATGCCTAAGAGTAGAATTGCTGGGTCATATGGTTATTCTGTGTGTTTAGTTTTTTGAGGAACCACCCTGCTGTTTTCCATAGTGACCGCACCTTCTTAAGTTCCCACTAGCAGTGTATGAGGGTTCCAATTTTTCTATATCCTCACCAACACTTGTTATTCACCTATTTGAAAAAAAAAATATTGTCATCCTAGTAGGTGTGAAGTGATATCTCCTGGTTTTGATATACATTTCACTAATGACTAATAGTGTTGAGCATCTTTTCATATGCTTACTCGTCATTTGTAAATCTTCTTTGGACAGATGTCTATTCAAGTCCTGTGCTCATTTTTAAATTGGGTTGTTTGCCTTTTTATTGTTGAGTTGTAGGAGTTCTTTATATATTCTGGATATTGATTTCTTGTCAGACATATGGTTGGAACATATCTCCCAGTCTATAGGTAGTCTTTCAAATTCTTGATAATGCCCTTTGCGCAAAGGTTTTTCATTTTAATCAAGTCCATTTTGTATTATTTTCTTTTGTTGCTTGTTATCTTCGTGTCATATCTAAGAATCTATTTCTAAATCCAAAGTCATGAAAATATACCTGTTTTCTTCTTCTTCTTTTTTAAAGGTTTTATTTATTTATTTGAGAGAGAGAGCACATGAGAGAGGAAAGGGTCAGAGGGAGAAGCAGACTCCCCACTGAGCAAGGAGCCCGATGCAAGACTCAATTCTAGGACTCCAGGATCATGACCTGAGCGAAGGCAGTTGCTTAACCAACTGAGCCACCCAGGTGCCCCACCTCTGTTTTCTTCTAAGAGTGTTTTGGTTTGGCCTTATATGTAGGTCATTGGTTCATTTTGATTTGTATATGGTGTGAAGTACGGAGTCCAACTTTATTATTTTTTTACATTTTTTATTGTTATGTTAATCCCCATACATTACATCCTTAGTTTTAGATGTAGTGTTCCATGATTCATTGTTTGTGCATAACACCCAGTGCTCCATGCAGAACGTGCCCTTCTCAATACCCATCACCAGGCTAACCCATCCTCCCACCCCCCTCCCCTCTAGAACCCTCAGTTTGTTTTTCAGAGTCCATCATCTCTCATGGTTCGTCTACCCCTCCGACATCCCCCCCTTCATTCTTCCCCTCCTGCTACCTTTTTTTTTCTCTTCACATATATTGCATTATTTGTTTCAGAGGTACAGATCTGAGATTCAACAGTCTTGCACAATTCACAGTGCTTACCAGAGCACATACCCTCCCCAGTATCTATCACCCAGTCA